GACAGCATGCCCAAAACTTCAGTCACAATGACGTGTGATTTTGTCTTAGCACAACCATTGACAACTTCTGAACAGTTTTATCTACCACATTTCACACAAAAGGTTTTGGTCAATCTGTGGTTTCATTTTCCATCCCTTTTCAATTGTGCCACAGTTCAATATTATCAAGGAGTCACCTCTTTGAGAAGTCAACCAAGGTGAAATTTGAACCCTAGTCTTGTAGTTGGAATATAAACTTTCTAACCACTTTGCCATGCATCTATACTTCATGATTAAACTAGTATTATATATAAGTTTTCACTATATTGTTTGTACTTTTGTCCTTGCAATTTATTGCCATATTCATAATGTTTCGGTTATTGTACACTCTGGCCTTCTTCAGGTGATATATGTTGGAATTTGAAACCGAACCCTTATTTAGTCCATAGGAGTAGATTGTTCTAATTCCACATGCCATGCCTTTGGATGTCTCAGTTTCAGTTAATTTCCTTTAGTGCCTCAACTCTCCAAGTTTTGGCCAGGTATTGAACTCACACCTCTTTGGATCAAGTCACTTTTGGATCACTCAGCCAATACTTTTATCCAATGGGCTTTGTGTCCTGGCCACAGAAGAGGGAACAAAAACTTTGTTCAATAAATTGTATTTTTTCATTTCATAGATTACATAAGTAGGTAAAAATGTTGCTCTGAATCACTTTCCTCCTTTTATTTTTTTTTTTTTAAATTTTTTAAAAGAAATCTGTCATTTTGTCTTCTATAGAATTGGATGTTTACATTTGTATGATTGAGTAGAATATCACTAGCTGTGGTTTGGGTTGGTATCGAAACTTTGTTTTGTCATTAGCTTTCTGTCTCTCTCATTAGTTACAAGATGTCAGTGGGTGACTGATTGAAATTATGGCTCTTTTCCTCTTCACTGCTACATGCCACCCCCCCAACACTCCTATTCTCAGCTTCCAAACCGAAGCTTATGATTTGCTGCTGATTTCTCATCAAAATACCAGTGCTGTTTGTCTTCCGTTCTTGTGAATTTTCAGGTATACATGAATAGACAGCCATGTCTATTTAAGGTGTACACTTGGAGATATATAGATACATGAATGATAATCGGTGTGTTGATTGCCATGACAACCATGGCTTAAGAGGGTGGCAGGAAAATCTGTTTGTGGGAAGCTAAGAGTTCTACCTTCATTTTCTTTATCTCTGCATCAGTTAGTTTCATATTTTCGTTGTCCTCTCTCATAATTAATCATTGTTTTCTCCTTGTCTTTCTCCCAGATATTCATTCCTAGCTTTTCTTTTCTTTTCTATCTTTTTATAAATCAACTCTTCAATTTGATCAACATATTTTTCTTTTATCTTTTGTAGGATTTTTCCCTCCCTTTCTCTGTTGTTGAACGTCTTCCCTCCCTTTCTCTGTCGTTGAACGTCTTTCCTCTCTTTCTCTGTTGATGAGTGTCTTTCCCTCTCTTTCTCTGTTGGTGAACATCTTTCCTCTCTTTCTCTGTTGGTGAGCGTCTTCCCTCTCTTTCTCTGTTGATGAGCGTCTTCCCTCTCTTTCTCTGTTGATGAGCGTCTTCCCTCTCTTTCTCTGTTGATGAGCGTCTTCCCTCTCTTTCTCTGTTGGTGAATGTCTTCCCTCTCTTTCTCTGTTGGTGAATGTCTTCCCTCTCTTTCTCTGTTGGTGAATGTCTTCCCTCTCTTTCTCTGTTGGTGAATGTCTTCCCTCTCTTTCTCTGTTGGTGAGTGTCTTCCCTCTTTTTCTCTGTTGGTGGGTGTCTTTCCCTCTCTTTCTCTGTTGATGAGCATCTTCCCTCTCTTTCTCTGTTGATGAGCATCTTCCCTCTCTTTCTCTGTTGGTGAGTGTCTTTCCCTCTCTTTCTTTATTGATGAGCGTCTTCACTTTCCTTCTCTGTTGGTGAGTGTCTTTCCCTCTCTTTTTCTGTTGGTGAGCATCTTTTACTCACTTTTTCTGTTGGTGAACGTCTTTTCTTTTCCTCTCTTTTCCACTCTTCCCTCTCTTTTCTCTGTTGGTGAGTGTCTTTTCCTCTCTTTTCTCTGTTGATGAGCGTCTTCCTCTCTTTCTCTGTTGATGAGCATCTGTTTGAGCATCTTCCCTCTTTCTCTGTTGGTGAGTGTCTTTCCCTCTCTTTCTCTGTTGGTTTCTTTCCTTCTCTTTATCCATTGGTGAGCGTCTTCCCACTCTTTCTCTGTTGGTGAGTGTCTTTCCCTCTCTTTCTCTGTTGGTGAGTGTCTTCCCTCTCCTTCTTTATTGATGAGCGTCTTTTCCTCTCTTTCTCTGTTGATGAGCGTCTTCCCTCTCTTTCTCCGTCTTCCTCTCTTTCTCTGTTGATGAGCGTCTTCCCTCTCTTTCTCTGTTAGTGAGTGTCTTTCCCTCTCTTTCTCTGTTAATGAGCGTTTTCTCTCTCTTTCTCTATTGGTGAGTGTCTTTCCCTCTCTTTCTCTGTTGGTGAGCATCTTCCTCTCTTTTCTGTTGTTGAGCATCTTCCCTCTCTTTCTCTGAGTGTCTTTCCCTCTCTTTCTTTATTGATAGCGTCTTCACTTTCCTTCTCTGTTGGTGAGTGTCTTTCCCTCTCTTTTTCTGTTGGTGAGCATCTTTTACTCACTTTTTCTGTTGGTGAACGTCTTTCTTTTCCTCTCTTTTTCCATTGGTGAGCGTCTTCCCTCTCTTTCTCTGTTGGTGAGTGTCTTTCCCTCTCTTTCTCTGTTGATGAGCGTCTTCCCTCTCTTTCTCTGTTGATGAGCATCTTCCCTCTCTTTCTCTGTTGATGAGCATCTTCCCTCTCTTTCTCTGTTGGTGAGTGTCTTTCCCTCTCTTTCTCTGTTGGTGAGTGTCTTTCCTTCTCTTTATCCATTGGTGAGCGTCTTCCCACTCTTTCTCTGTTGGTGAGTGTCTTTCCCTCTCTTTCTCTGTTGGTGAGTGTCTTTCCCTCTCCTTCTTTATTGATGAGCGTCTTTCCCTCTCTTTCTCTGTTGATGAGCGTCTTCCCTCTCTTTCTCTGTTGATGAGCGTCTTCCCTCTCTTTCTCTGTTGATGAGCGTCTTCCCTCTCTTTCTCTGTTAGTGAGTGTCTTTCCCTCTCTTTCTCTGTTAATGAGCGTTTTCTCTCTCTTTCTCTATTGGTGAGTGTCTTTCCCTCTCTTTCTCTGTTGATGAGCATCTTCCCTCTCTTTCTCTGTTGGTGAGGATTTTCTCTCTCTTTCTCCGTCTTCCCTCTCTTTCTCTGTCTGAGCACCTTCCCTCTCTTTCTCTGTCTGAGCACCTTCCCTCTCTTTCCTATGTCTGTGAATGTCTTTCTTCTCTTTCTCTCTATGTAAACATATTTCTCATATTTATCTCTGTGGTTTCTCCCCTACACTTTTCTCTCTTGCTTTCTCTTCTTCCAATATATATATTTTATGTTATTCCTAGCTGCTTTCTACTTTCAATCTTGTATTTATTCTTCACTTTCATTTTTCAATGTGCGCATGAATAATATATATATATATATATATATTAATGACATATATATGCAATTTACGTTTCCCTTTCATCTTCTATTGCCTCTTAGCATCTGTTTTTTTTTTTTTTTTTTTAAATATTTTTAGGCTTGTCAGCCACCTGCTCCTCGTACCCTGATAGCCTCTCTAATGTACCCAATGCTCACAGTATGAATGATATCATCTACCACAACCACTGCCTCTACCTTGGGTAATGGAAGGTTTAGATAGACAAATGGAAAAAATAAAATATCCACTTTCTTTGTCATGTGAACCTGCTTGTTTGTTCTCTGACCAATTATGGTAGACGTTTTGGTGCTACTCTCAATCCTGCAGATTATACACTGGAGCCACATTTATTGCATTTAAATAATACAGCCTCCCTTTGTTTTGCTATTATTTTTCCAGATGAGGACATTAAAAAGAAATCTTGAAATAACATATAGTCATTGTTTACCATTTGTATATACAATACTTGAAGTCTGTTTGAGACCTTCAAGATAAACCTTAACACTTTAGATTTTATCAATTTGAGCATAGATTGGCAGATAAGTCTCATCATTTTCCAGTTGAAATGGCTAGATTTAACCATAAATTCTATGCTAACAGTTTCTTCTCTTGCACTTGTCACTTATGGAACTCTCTTCCGGCTTCTCTCTTTCCAGTTAATTTTGATCTTCGAAAATTTAAATGCATTGTCAATTGTCATCTTCTGTCTTAATACTTGTTCTTTTATTGTTCTCTCTCCTTAATAATGTTTTTCCTTTTCTCATATTCTTTCACACTCAGTAACCTCCTTGCGTCTTAATGGTTTTATTGTCTTGCTTTGGGTGAAATGATTAAAAAAAAGAAAAAAAGAAAGAAAAAGCTTCTGGCATTATGAGCTGTTGGTGGCAGCAAGTCAATATGACCATTATATAGCAATCAATGTGTTATAAAGAATGATTCATTTCTTCAATTATAATTCTGTGTATTGAGGAGGAGTACTAAATTCATTTGATTAAGTGACATCTCTTTCTGCACCCTCTTGTTGAGTTAGAAGGGATCACAAAAGAAAAGGTTCCACTTAGATATTAATAGAGCTGCTTCGAAATCATTTTTTTTCTTGTTTTATGTGCATGTGCATACAACAGTGTTTGCCAGACCTGTTCTATTAGGATGCAATCAATAATGTCTTAATCTGGCTTTTAACTCATAAGAAATGTGAAGTTGTGTCTGAACACTAAAAAGCTATTACCAAATTAAGAGTAAATATATTGGACACTTTTGGTGAAGCACCACAAATTTGTAAAAGGTTTGGTAAATATACTCCATGTATATGTAAGTATGTATGTGTATATATATATATATATATATATATATATATCCCCTCATCGTTCTTCCTCTTCTCTTTCCATGCGTCTTCTCTTCTCTTCACCTGTTCTCTCTGTGGGTATCTTGTACTTGCATCACCTCTCCTCTGTGCAGTTGTGTCTTGTGCTTGCACCATCTGCTCTGTGCATGTGTCTTTTACTCTCACCACCTGCTATCTGTACTCATATCTTTTCCTCTTGCCACCTGCTCTCTGTACTGATGTCTTTGTCTTGCCACCAGCTCTCTGTACTCGTGTCTTTTCGTCTTGCCACCTGCTCTCTGTACTCGTGTCTTTTCCTCTTGCCACCTGCTCTCTGTACTCGTGTCTTTTCGTCTTGCCACCTGCTCTCTGTACTAAATGTCTTTTCCTCTCGCCACCTGCTCTCTCTGTACTCGTGTCTTTTCGTCTTGCCACCTGCTCTCTGTCCGTGTCTTTTCCTCTCGCCACCTGCTCTCTGTACTCGTGTCTTTTCGTCTTGCCACCTGCTCTCTGTACTCGTGTCTTTTCCTCTCGCCACCTGCTCTCTGTACTCGTGTCTTTTCGTCTTGCCACCTGCTCTCTGTACTCGTGTCTTTTCCTCTCGCCACCTGCTCTCTGTACTCGTGTCTTTTCCTCTTGCCACCTGCTCTCTGTACTCGTGTCTTTTCCTCTCGCCACCTGCTCTCTGTACTCGTGTCTTTTCCTCTTGCCACCTGCTCTCTGTACTCATGTCTTTTTGTCTTGCCACCTGCTCTCTGTACTCGTGTCTTTTCCTCTTGCCACCTGCTCTCTGTACTGATGTCTTTTCCTCTTGCCACCTGCTCTCTGTACTCGTGTCTTTTCCTCTTGCCACCTGCTCTCTGTACTCATGTCTTTTCCCTCTCGCCACCTGCTCTCTGCTTTCGTGTCTTTTCCTCTTGCCACCTGCTCTCTGTACTGATGTCTTTTGTCTTGCCACCTGCTCTCTGTACTCATGTCTTTCCTCTTGCCACCTGCTCTCTGTACTCATGTCTTTTCCTCTTGCCACCTGCTCTCTGTACTCGTGTCTTTTCGTCTTGCCACCTGCTCTCTGTACTGATGTCTTTTCCTCTTGCCACCTGCTCTCTGTACTCATGTCTTTTCCTCTTGCCACCTGCTCTCTGTACTGATGTCTTTTCCTCTTGCCACCTGCTCTCTGTACTGATGTCTTTTCGTCTTGCCACCTGCTCTCTGTACTGATGTCTTTTCGTCTTGCCACCTGCTCTCTGTACTGATGTCTTTTCCTCTTGCCACCTGCTCTCTGTACTCGTGTCTTTTCCTCTTGCCACCTGCTCTCTGTACTCGTGTCTTTTCCTCTTGCCACCTGCTCTCTGTACTCGTGTCTTTTCCTCTAGCCACCTGCTCTCTGTCTGTGTCTTTTCCTCTTGCCACCTGCTCTGTACTTCGTGTCTTTTCGTCTTGCCACCTGCTCTCTGTACTGATGTCTTTTTCCTCTTGCCACCTTCTCTCTCTGTACTGATGTCTTTTCCTCTTGCCACCTGCTCTCTGTACTGATGTCTTTTCCTCTTGCCACCTGCTCTCTGTACTGATGTCTTTTCCTCTCGCCACCTGCTCTCTGTACTGATGTCTTTTCGTCTTGACACCTGCTCTCTGTACTGATGTCTTTTCCTCTTGCCACCTGCTCTCTGTACTGATGTCTTTTCGTCTTGCCACCTGCTCTCTGTACTCGTGTCTTTTCCTCTTGCCACCTGCTCTCTGTACTTGTGTCTTTTCCTCTTGCCAACTGCTATCTGTACTCCTGTCTTTTCCTCTTGCCACCTGCTCTCTGTACTCGTGTCTTTTCCTCTTGCCACCTGCTCTCTGTACTGATGTCTTTTCCTCTTGCCACCTGCTCTCTGTGCATGTGACTTTTCCTCTTGCCACCTGCTCTCTGTGCACAGGTCTTGTCCTTTTGGCATGCAACTTGTCCTCTTGTCACCTCTTCTCTCTGCATGTGTCTTCTCTCACCACTTACTCTCAGTGGACACGTCTTGTTCTCTCACCACCTGCTCTCTCTGCACAGTCCCCTCCTCTTGCTGCATGCATCTTCACCTCTCACCACCTTCTTTCTGTGTACACATCTTCTCTGCATGCGTCTAGTCCTCTCACCATTGTTCTCTGTGCATGTATCTTTTCCTCTTGTCACCTGCTCTCTGTTCCTGCAAGTTGGCCACTTGCCACCTTCTCTCTCTGTACACATCTTGTCTTCTCACCACCTGCTCTCTGTGCACGCATCTTGCTCTCTTGCCACCTTCTCACTATGTGCACATCATTTCCTCTTGCCACCTGCTCTCTCTACACACATCTTTTCAACACCTGCTCTCTGTCCATCTTGAGACATTGCATTCTTTGTTTGTTGGTTTTTAATCTGATTTTCAATAATGTTCAGTGGAATGTAATTGTTGGTGTCATTGATTATGGAGATTCAGATATTTTTGTGATTACACTATTTGGTCCCTTTATAATAATTTTATCTCAACATATTTTTGTGTCCAATTTTTTTTAGAAAGATGGATAAAAGACATGTATATGCAGGTTGATATACATGGATAAAATTCAAGACATTAGTTCTTAGATTCCTTGGTCACATTCCTCCCTTTATGATTCTTGGTTTCCTCAATTCCACCTGCATTTTGAATTATTATTCAGCAATTATTCAATATTATGATTTATACATATGACTAAAATTCCTCTCCTGGGAGTCATGTGCCTCCCATTTGAGAATATCTCATTTAAAATGTGATGTATGATGGCATAGTACAGGGTACAATGGATAAATTGTCATGTAAATTACGCAAAAATGAAAATAACACTGACATCTCATTTTAACAGATATTACACAAAAATATCTTGAAATACCAAAGAGTAAATTTACTCAATATAATTACCATTGACTTCAACCATGGCCTCTGGATGACTTTGGAAACTCCTGTAACTCTTCTGGAGGGTCTCATTGTTTAAGTTGGTGAATGCTACCATAATCCTTGCGTTCAGTTCATCTGTGTTGTTACAAGGAAGTTTGTTGATCTCTTGCTCAACTGTGCCCCACACATAATAATCCAACTCTTTCCAAACCCTCTGCACTGTCTTCAGATTGACACCCAAACACTCTGAAAAGTTGGTTTTGGAGCTTTCAATGCAAACACCAAGCAGTACAGCATGGCATTTCCAAATTTCTGGCAGGGTGAATTGTGTTATGGTGCCTTTTTTCTCGCAGATGGAGCTCACTTGACTGTACTATACTGTGTAATTGACAGAATCAAAAACAAACAACACACATGCACAAAATTGAAGATATAAAATGGCGACAATTTACCCATCGCACCCTGTATTTATCTTAATTTCTGAAATGAAGTTTTACCTTGACTAATTTGAAGCAAATTGTTGCATTAATCATGTTTTTGGTACAGTACTTTCCAGACTTGCTCAGGTGCCTGTCATATCCAGCAACTTTCTTTGAATGTTGAATCCTTTATTTTCCATTTTGATTTCTCAGTTTTCTGAATATAGCAAATAACTGAGGAAAGCTACAAAGTACAGTGGCCAAAACGTGATAAAAACAATGATATGGTCTTTGAAACTTTTGACCCGACTGAAGTTATGGGTAATGTTTTAAATTATGACCACCTTACAAAGAGGCAGATTCAATTGGATCATCTGTGCAGTTCATTGTAGAAAAAAACAACAGCAAACTTTTAGTTTTAGATGTCTTTGTAATTGAATGATTTTAGAGATTTGGTATATAGAAAACCAACATAATGTTTTATTTGAATTTTAATTCAAGCCATCCCTTTTTAGTTAAACATTTTAAGAAATATATTGCTTTTAAGATCAAACTGGGGTCAAGAGCAAAAATGTCCTGAAGAGTAAGAGGATGAATCTGAAACATTATAACAATGCTTGCTAATATTTTTTTAAAAGCACATTAATTACATATTGGGATGGAAGTTAAATTGGAACACTGCTTCTACAAGTTGTTACTATATGCCAATAACCAAACCTGCTGATGACAGAAGTTCTCAAGTTTTGTTTATTAAGAAAACCTCCAAGGAAAAATTAAAATTTACAACAAAACTGTGCCAACAATTCAGCTTCCTTTACTGGCCAATGAACACAACTTGTTACCACTGGGATGTCTGAACTGAATTTTCATTTTTCCTTTGAGCTTTTCGTATCAATTAGTATAATAAACGAAGCTCAAGAAGTTCTGCCATTGATTGCCAACAAGTTTCTTTGAATGGTTGCTAATGCATTGCTTTTTGTTTCTTTTATATTTAAAGAGCAGAATAAGGCAGACCCAATAACTGGTGAAAATACTTTATAATTGGAGATATCATTTTTTTAAAGATGAATCTGTTGATGTCCCCAATCCAACTGTAGTAATTTACAGTCTTTTGGTGTTCACAACTTTAGCAATCATAAGAACAAAAACAATTTTCACTTCAAGGTGTGAAGCTTTTATACTCATTGTTTTAACCAGAGGTCATCCATGATAAAGCAATCGCAAATGTGACGCAAATTAGTCAGCAGTGTCATGTCTTGATCAACCACTCACAACAAATATCCAATCATGAAAGGGGGCATAACTCACTCCAACTCTCATCTTGGAAAAGGCATTAATTTGTTAATATCATAGACCTTACAATGTCCATAGCATATTTAAGAGGAAATGTTGATATTGCATCAGAGTGCTTTTAATAGGCTTCTTGCAAGAGAATTGGATGACAATGAAGAAGAATATAAGGACAAAACTGTCTGTCTGCTGAAAATCAGTCAAGGGGCATAATGCAATATTTAGGGGTGAAGCAATAAAATCTAGTTTGACAGACCATATCTAGAGAAGGAGAGAAGAGCATTTATTAAACTCTTTGAGGTCCAAATAACAAATAAGAGCTTTGCTGGTGTATGGGAGACAATTGAAAGATAAAAAGGGATCGGGCATTAACCTTATGGACAAATACATAAAACAAGCCCATACAGATTTGAACATGGCATGGATTTCTTTGCTTAGTAGAAAAAGAACTGATGAACATCTCTGCATTAGGGCTGGTCAAGTTAGGAACCGTGGTATTGCACTCAATTTGAACGTTAAGGTTTCACATGCTAAATAATGAAACAAAATATTTTTCCCAAATTGTTACCATGTTTTTAGGAAACGAGTTTGAATATTAAGTTTAGTTTCAAAATTATAGCATTGGAATTTCATTCTGGTGATCAGTGAAAGCCTTATAAAATTTTTAATTTACTGTAGCTTCACAAATTGTATATGCACAGGATTCTTGGCACAAGCAAATTATTACTAATTCATTGTGCTATCAAAAAATACCTTCATTTACTTCAATTTAGCTACTATGATGTAATATATTATACAGTGCAGTAGTTTTAGTGGGATTTTTCAACAAACAATGCAAATTTAAAATACTTTATCTAATAATTGCCCAGCAGTATTAGGATATTATATACACTTTTATCTATATTTTTATTATGATGTAACAAATCTCATTAATTGAATAGCCTTTTTTGTAATTTTTTTACAATTTTTTTTTACAGTTTTCACTTATTGTATACAGTAAAATGCATATTTTGCTTGTGGTAATTCATAATTAGAATTGTGGTTTGAATATATTTTCCATTCAATGTATCTAATACAAAAATATCAACTTTATTTGTAGTTATTCTTGAAATAGCAAAATTTTGAAATCAGTTTGTAAACAAAAACCTGCAAAAATTGGGTATATCTGTACTTTTTTTCAGACAATCATTTAAACTAAATGCTCAAAAATTGGTAAAAGCTGTGAATCTAATTCTTGGTAGCAGTAATTATCACTTCAAACCCCAGTTTTGGCACTGAGTGCAATGTTGATTTTTCCAAAAAAAGTGAAAACTCAACCTGCATAGAATGTGAGTTACATGGATTATTGAAAATGAGCTTAAGTCAGTTGGTATGTTTCTTACCAGTCCCTGGGAAAAGACACTCTTTTCTTACTGACACCAGAAGATTGACTGAAGTGTTGTAACAACAAAAGAAAGAATGAGTTCACTCATTTAAACAGCCTCTTGGAAAGCTAATGGAACCAGTCAAAGAATCAGAATATCATGAAAAGTTTTGAATTTTACTGTATTTGGAATTTATTTCCAAGATGGAGGTAAAATTGTGTTACAATCCCAATGTCTGGTCGTTAAAAGCAGCCTCAAATAAGGTGTGGCAGATGGATGTACAAAATTGGTAAGCACTATTGATAAAACCTATTGCAAATGTGTGTTTTCATGAGGAAATTGTAATCTTGATGAATAATAAACAGCCAACGTTGTAGATTTTTATAATCCATACGTCTCTTGGGAGCCTGTTCCTCTGATGTTGGCCTTATTTTGAGACTTGATAGGCTTTTTTTCTTTTCTCTTTTTTTTTTTTAACTCTGGTTGCCTTTGATCGTCCAATAGCTTTTATTTATGATCTTAAAAAAAAATCGCTGGAAAGAAGCCAAGGAAAGAAAAGGCTGTTGTTGCTTGGAAAAGCCATTGGCTTTATAAATATATTTCATGCTTGACTGATTGATTGGTTCTGTTTATTACTTGTTGAGCGGTCAACTGCCCACCCTCATTTCTTCTGTTAGCTTTTTTTGCTGCCCCTACTACTTAATTTGCATATGCTAAATAGGTATCTAATTTCTATGCAGTTAATTCTCTCATGATTAACCAGTGGTTTTCTTTTTCTTGATGAAACGTTAATCTTGTGGTTTTTGTGCCAAATTAAGAAATATAGCATTTCTTTTTATGAGGTAGATCTAATTTTTTTAAAATATTGATTGGAGTTTTAGTGCCAATTTTTTATTTTCACTTGGTTAATTAGCTTACTTGGTTTGGTTAACAAGCTATACTATTATTGCTGTAGTGTGTTCAGTCTTGACTAAGGGCTCCATTCTTGAGGCCTTATGCTTTACTAAGAAGAGTATCATGAGTGTGCATATATATATATATATATCAAATGGTTATATATATAAATATATATATATATATATCAAATGGTTATATATATATATATATCAAATGGTTATATATATATATATATATATATCTCAAATGGTTATATATATATATATATATATATATATATATATATATATATATATATATATATATATATATATATATATATATATATATATATATATATATATATATATATAAATCAAATTAGATATAAGCAAGGGTATACATATGTGCTGGTGTGCATACATGGCCAAGCAAAAAATAATCATGAA